ATTTCTCAAGCTCATACCAACCACATTGGTGACACCGCTGAATAGGGTGGCCATCCGAGTCAGGCCCGTGATCCATAGATCAGGGTTCAAATACGGGTCACCGAAGAAACCATTGCCATCAAAATTACTGCAGCACCAACCGGGCTTGCTTATGTGATTGTCAAGTATGACCATTACATTGTTTTCCCCAAGACTAGACACCACTGCCTGAAATTGAATTCATCCATTAAGAAACTCTAAACAAAAGTAACAATCACTTGATCCAGGCATTTCAACCTCAAATACCGTTCTATTAGTACAAGATACAAAGAAATGTCCACCAGTTTATCAAAGTAAATTGATATTTAAATCATGAAGCATAAATAATGCGGCTAAGGTTAATAATTTAAGAGAAAATTATGGGTGAAATTTTTATGTTCTGCATGCAGGGCTAGTAGGACATATACTCCATAGGATACAGTAAAAAAATACTTAAAAAATAAAATTTGTGAGAAGCTCTTAACCTCATTTATGAAGTTAAAATAATTCACTAAAACTCACGACTTAATTGCCGTCGCCATCATTTCTTACCTGTCACATAATTATCATCGTATTCCCACTAAACTACATGATTATGAATAATTAATAAGCTACCACATGAGGGCCGCAGCATACAAGAAAAAATGAAGAAAAAACAGAGTCTGTCTAATTGTCATCAATGTATTGGTTAGTTGGATAACCTTAAATCCGTAACTAATGCCGTAAAGTATCAATCTGTCTTCTAGTAATGTTTGAGTATGTGTGAGAGTTGGGGCTCCAAAAGGGTTTCACTTTCTTAAGTTTTCCTCTGTTCTTATTTTTCTTTATCCTCCTGGTCGCGTGTGAAAATCTAATCTTTCTGGGGAAAAAACAAGAGCAGAAATTTCATACCTGGTAAGCTTTTATGAGGGAAACATCAATGATGGAGGGGTTGTTGGCCTGGATGCCAGCAATAGATTCGAGCAGACCAAGTCTTTGAAAAGATTGTCTTACAGTGAGAGAGGCCAATGAGTCATTGGTGACCAAAAAAAGTGGCCAAGTAAACCTAACGCAATTGAACCCCATTGACACAATCCGTTTGGCGATCATATCCATTGGCTGCTTGCTAAGACCTTCTGCAACAACTGGTTCAAGGTGTGACACCCAGTTCACGCATGCTAACTTTACCCGCTGCCCTTCCTCATCGACGATCCAACGCGAATTTGTCGAGAGAGGGAGAGACATGGCTGGCTTAGCATGTTGAGTGATAATGGGAAAGAGTAGGAAGAGAGAGAGGATAGACAAGGAAGTGAACCTTCCCATGGGTTTCGTTTTTTCTTTTAACTCGAGGGGGTGTTGCGTACAAGGAGTGCTTGAATGTCTTATTTATATACTAGTATACATCCTTATCAAGAATGAAACCAAACATCCCTTAATTTGGAAAAAAAAAAAAAAAAAAGAAAGTTTTTAGTAGGACTATTTTATATTTTATTTTACATTTTTATTTTAAATACATTTCTTAATTCTATCCTTACTGCAAATCCTTCATTTGTTTAGCATTGTGTAAATAAATAACAGGAATATGGGACTGGTTTAACGTTTTCATCACTATTTTATTAATTTTTATTTGCTCAAAGCTAATTAGGACTTTTAAGCCAGCAAAATCAATGTAGAAGTGTCAACTTTATTCAAATTTGATGAAGAATTCAACTTTTTATTTGAACTAGAATAACTATGGATATCTAATAAATTTAGAGAAAAACAAGAATAATTATGGTTTTGAAATATTCTTCGATACAAGCACGTGGACCAATAATATAGCACTTGCTTCCTTATCCGATATATATTTATGTATTGTACTCGAGCCTTTAGCTTAATGGTTAAAGGTGCTTAAAGAGACATTAAGGGTCTGATTTCAAATCAGATATCCTTTCCTTTTTTTTATTTGTATTAGAATTTTACCTTTCTAATATAATAAATATATATATATTTATGTATTAAAAATTTTTATATATTTATATATATTAACAAAATTTTTATTAAGGTTTCAACTTTTATTTGGTTAACGTATGTATTTTTTTTTTGTAAGTTTCAACCATAAAGCAAGAGTTTGATCCTTCAACAAGAAAGATATCTAAACTTAGTTATTTACGCAAGCTTATAGTAACATGCACGAGGAGATATTTCCAGTGAAGGAAATAAAGTTTGAGTGTTTCATGGAAAGGTTTCAGCTTCCGCGTTGAGCATTTCCTATTGGACCATTTACTCTGTTGTTGTTGGTAACACGCCAAGTAATGGGATATATGGTTTACGTTTTTGAAAGAGATGAGTAATTAAAGGCCTAAACAGAATCAAAATGCCCACTTTTTCTCTTACACACTGACACAACACATTTTACTTTAGGGTTAAGAGATTATTTATGTCTATCTGGTGTAGGGTATCTGTGGATGGCCTTTGGCAGACTTACAAGGCAATGCATGCATTTGCTTTTGCTATAGGCTATGGGATGTTCTTTGCTTTTATTTTTGTTCTTGTTTTTGACTTTCTTCAATCTTTCTTCTCAGGAAAAAACTCATTTACGTAAATCATAGATCAAACTAATGTATATATCCAAAATAAATTCGATATCAGTATCATATAAATCACAAGTCTTCAAAATTGCAAGTATATCAATGGATATAAAAATATACATAAAATATATAAATGGTCACTTAATTTTAGTAGTCTTTTTAAAGTGATCATTTAAATATTAATTTTTTTAATTTAATCATTTAAGTTTGAATTTGTTAATTTTTTGGTTACTTAATCGTTAATGACCAACAACATGTTGATGTGGCACTGTCACGTCAATTTTAGGTGTCACGTGATATTGTCACCTCATCTAACAAGCCATGTGATATTGTTGATGTGGTATTATAAAACTTTAAAAAAATAAATAAATTTTAATCACTTAATTTTTTAAGAATTTATATTCTAGTTACTTATTTACAATTTAGTCAATAACAAATAAGTCCTCAATTTTTATAAGAAAATTAAAATAAGTATTGATATTTTTATTTCATAGAATTAAATTATAAATTTTTATTTTATTGTACTTATATCATTTAAATTTGAAAAATCGATGAATATTATCCAATACTAAAATTAAAAAAATTAACGACTGAGTGACCAAAAAAATCTTGAAATTATGAAATATGAAATTTATTAATATTTTGGTTTTCATTGTCAATGACTCATTGTCACTATGAATTTATAATGAGTTCGATTATCAACATTTATAAAATTTAATATAATAAATTATTTTATTATTTATGTTACCTAGTGAAATATATTAAGATAATATTCAAGTGTTAGAGTTTAAGTGGTTTAAGGTTAAGGTTCACGTGGTTTAAGGTTTTGATTTAGGGTAAGGGTTTTTTGCTAGGATTTCAGCTAGGTTAAGGTATATCTAATGCAAAAATGTATGAAATTATGACTTAACTTAATTTTCAAATAAATAATTGAATTTTATAAAAAAATAGAAATAAATATTTAATATCTTTATTGTTATTTTATTACAATCATACCATTTAAATTTGAAAAATAGAAGAATATTAATCAACAGTCAAATTTACTAAATATTATTATTTCAAATATTTATCGTTTAGTTAATCTAAATAAATTTAAGTAATTATTTTAAATTTTTGCATTTTGGTCACCATTATTTGTGAAATTATTAATATTTAGATGTTACTCTCAACTTAACTTTATAATGATTTAATCACTAATGGTTTGTAAAATTTAATATAATAAATTATTTTTATTTTATTTTGTTATCTATATTTCTTTTAATATTTTATTACATGAAATAAAACTAAATCTTGACATTATGAAATATGAAATACTTAATTGAGCTTATATTGGATGAGTTGAATGACAAAAATGTAAAATAACATTATTTTAGTGATTTTTGTAAGTGGATAATATTCTTTCATTTTTAAAATTTAAATAATATAATTACAATAAAATTAAAATTTTATAATTTAATTCTATGCAATAAAATTATCAAATACTTATTTCTATTTTTTTTTATAAAATTTGATAACTTATTTGTTAGTGACTTGATTATAAATTTTTAAAGTTGAGTGACGAGAATAAAAATTTTAAAAAATTAAATGACTAAAATTTATTTATTTTTTTAAGTTTTGTAATATCACGGCAGCAATGTTACGTGGCTTATCAAATGAAGTGGTATTACTATGTAGCACTTGAAATTGATGTGGCAATGTCATGGCAGCACGTCATTAGTCATTAATGGTTGAATAATCAAAAAATTAATGGATTCAAATTTAAGTGATTAAATTAAAAAAATAATATTTAAGTAATCATTTTAAAAAGATCTTTAAAGTTCAGTGACTATTTATATATTATATCCTAAAAATATCTATAAATAAATTTAAAATTTAACTTAATTAAATTATACAATCATCTAAAGATAATATTCAATAGATCTTAAATTCAAATCTTAGTACCCGTAATTTTTTCTCCATCCTTAAGTTACGATCTTTTTTAATATAAAAAATAATATCCATAAATATCAATAAAAATGGAAAAAAAGACAAAACTCTATAATAAATGTTACAGAACTAAAATGAAGTTTCAATATATATTCATTATTCAAACATATTTAGTATTTTTATAAATAAAAATTATGACATAAATAAAATGTTATATGCAATGAATTTGTGTTTTTATATTGAGTTCGAAAATATATTTGATAAATATCAACGTCTTGAATTATACATAAAAAAAATTAGATAAATATTTTAAGGTTTTGATTAAAGGATGTCTATAAACGCTATGATATTTATAAATACTGATTAAAGATAGTTAAAATATTATTAAAAAATTTACATTTAATACATTATTTTTACTAAATTCAAGAAAAAAATATTAATTATATAATATTCTTGAAATATTTTTTTTAATCTTTTTCTTTAAATACCTAATGAAACATTTTTCATATCTAAACTATTGAGTTGCAAATCCACAGTTTTGAAGGTGCCCAACCCAATAAGCTTTGGATATATTTGGTTTCAAAGGCTTCAAGCCCATAGCTTTTATCACGTCTATGACAGAGGAGTGATGAGCGGAAAATGGCCAACAGACCCAACTGTTGATTCACGAGTAATCCGTGAAGTGGATCCAAAGAACATCCGAATCCGATCCATATCAGTCAATAAGATGAAGAAAATTACGCTGTCTTCTCGGCCTCAGGCACTGGAGTGAAAAGGAGATGCCGTTAAAAAGTTTAACTGTGAAATCAGCTTTGGCGCTTCGCGTTGGCAATTCGAAAACATTGGGGTTCTAGGGTTTTACTCTTATTTTCATCTCCCAATTGAATCATTGGGGTTTTAAATTTATAAATACCCAACATCCTTGGATTATTTCACAATGTAAGTTTAAATTTCTTCTCTTGTGTTTATCTTGAATTTCAGTTTCTAGTGTTCTTTTTTTTTTTTTGGTTAATTTAATTTATAAAATACATGACATTGCAGGGGAGTTGTTAAGCTGGAAATTCAGTGTCCTGAAACTGTTAATGGAATCGGTCTTGAACCCGACCCGGATTGGAGTTTCGATACTTTGTTATCGGAGCTTGATTCCTTGGAAAAGACGCTCAATGTCTCTTCTTCCGTCCCTTTGCCTTTAGCAAAAACCAAATCAAGGTATTTTCTTTTTTTCGTCTTTGTATTTTCTGTTCTTATATCAATAGAATTAAGCAGATTTTCCTTTTTTTTTTTAAATATATGAAAAAAGAGAATTTTATGGGGAAAAAGGCATCAAGAGAAGCTCAAATGCATTTGTTATGAGAATATCTGATGAGGAGTTTGAGGATAATGAAGGTGAGAATGAGGAGGCTCATGATGGAGGTTTAGTGAAAGTTGCACAATTTAATTGCGATGAACTTTATTTGAGGTATGGATTATACAAACCCATTTGTTTAATTTTATTAAATATGGAAGTCTTCATTTGGATGCAAGGCCAAGGAGATAATTTTTCATGGTTTTCTTGTAAAATTGTTAACTTTCAGTAGCAGCGATGATGATTCTGATGATGAGCCTTGTCTTGAAGTCCAAACCTACTTGATGAATGAGGTGGGATTGGTGGAGAGTGCTTTATTTGAGTTAACTCATGAGCATCAACTTGGAGTTAAGGTGTGTTGGATTAGCTCTAGTTGAAGACAGCTTTAAGTTCAGTGCTTTTGTATTGTGTACTTTATGAACTTGATCTTTTTCTTTCCTGTGTATTTTTTTTGTTTGCTATCATTCTTTTATGGATTATATGATATAGCATTGGAATGGGCTTAATTACAGGAGGAAATTAGGAACAGAATCTCTGCATTAGAGACAGATTTGATGAATGAGAGCGAAAAGTCTTTCTCTGCACATACTAAAGTTGAGAAATATAGTGAAGCAAGGCGGGAAGTGCAGAGGAAATTTGATGTTCAGTATCAACGCAGAATGTAAGTGGGAATCTCCTGTTTCTAATTGTTATTCACTCAAATATTCAGTTTTGAAAATATAGTTTCCATAATTGGATCTAGTGCCCCCTCACCCCTTTCTTCCTTTTTCCATTTTCCTTAAGTCAGGAGTTTGGTCATATCTATTGATGCTGCTTGACGTTCCATTAAAGGCATGCTAACTGATCCTCATAATTAAACAACTACTACTATATTTGATTATTAAAAGTAATGAAAGTAATAACTACTACTATATTTGATTATTAAAAGTAATTAAAGTAAGGTGGAATCACTTTGGAATTAGAATATAATGGATGAATTTGTTAAACCTTTAAAGGGCTTCCGAGACCATGCATTGGTGCTTGCTGTTCTCGATACAATTTTTAAAAAATTCATGAAATTACTGCAGTGCAGAAGGACTTGATAATCACTTGACTGCTGTCCAGCGGGACCATGAACTCAAATCACAAATAGAGGAAAGGAGAATAAGAAGTGATGCAGCACATGAAGAAGCAAAGAGAAGGGAAAAGGCTATTCAGGAAGAAAGACTACGCCAAGAAAAGGCCAAAGCAGAGGCAGAGGTTTGTTTACACAACTCCTATATGTAGTAAATTAGACCTGCATCATATATGACACTGCACCTTTTGGTATCTTTTCTTCATCCAACTAGAGGTGTTACTTTGTGCAAACTTCAATTCATGAACTGATTGGATTTCTGTAGGCTGTTGAAATTCTCTTTTGTCAGGTTGTCGTGCATGTAAATGGATTTTTAAGAAACCTTGTCTGATTGAACTTAAAAGGACTTGGCTATTGCTAGAATTCAAACAATGTTGCTTGTCATCTTGCTTCTTGTTTTCTTTGTACTTCCTTTATATGAGGACTATGCTTCATTGTAGTGGCAAGGAATAAAAGACAACAATAATAAAACAAGGACAAATTACTGTGTTCAGTTCATTGACATAGATCCATGGAAAGACGGATTTAGAGAAATGGAGAACACAATAACCTTTCGTAGTCACGTAAACCTTTAATATCTCTAGATCACTTTAATTTGACCAAAGTACATAAGAATAATAACAGTATGATAAATGGGCTGGTTAGTGCTGCAAAGGCTACGACTTTGATACCCCCAGATTTTCAATTAGAAAACCACACAACTATATGGCCTCGTCACTTTGCTTATGCTCCATGAAAAAGGCCTTTATTATTTACCATTGAACGTGAGAGAATAAAGTAGAGACATGGTCCAATATTTTTTTAATTGAGCTTTAAAGAAATTAGTTATCGCCAGAGTTCAGCTAGTTTTCTTGTTATTTTGCAAATTTTTTTCTGTGTGCATATATTGGTGCTTTTGTTATGCTTTCTGATAGGAGATCTCTACTCCCATTTGTGAGCCCTTTTCTAGAGGTTAACTTCGAAAAAAAAAACCTTATTTCTTTGAAGATGCATTTTTTTAGCAACTATATTTTTCATTACTTCAATCCTTTTACAAAAATAGGTCCATTTTATAGGGTTTTCATTTCAAAGATATTTTCTTTATGATTAAGAAATTTATGTATTTGGTGCAGGCTAAACTTAAAGCTGAGGAAGCCAACAGAGTTGCTTTGGAAGCTGAAAGGAGAGCAGCAAAAGAAGCAGCAGAAAAGGAAGCAGCTAAAGCCCAGAAATCTAATACTTCTAAAGTGTCACAAACAGAAGCTTTAGGAGGCCCTAATGCTACTGTTTCAGGAGTTTTAATTGATCAGCTCAAGGGATCTGAAATTGACAAAACAAACAAATCACATTCAGCAGGTATATTCTTTTCCAATGTGAAGGAATTTCCAGTTTTAAAAGCACACTCACATGCATATTTGCATATGAACGTACATCGCAACCCTGAACCTAAACATACATGCACAAATACATGACCTCAGTTCTTATCCTTTCATTATTATCCATGTCTCTAATGAATGCTTGCTAGTTGCTAGGTATATTCTTTATGTTGTCCATATTTCATTTGAGTTTTTGCACTTAATAGATCTCATTCACCAGCATGCCTCATGTAAATTTATATATATACATGTGTCTGTGTTGTGTAATCTGAGATTGTTGTTCAAGGTGGTACATTGATGTGTCTCTCTGTTCTATGACTTAACATTGTTATGCTAATCTCAGTGCCAACTGTCAATTATGGTAGGTAACACGCTCAGGGCTGCAGAGAGTGCTTTAAACCTAGAGAGGGAAAGGCTACAGAAGTTAAAGGAGTTGGATGAAATAAACCAATCACTGCGATCAAGCTCAAATGAGGTATTTCTTCCATCTATGTTGGATTTGCATCTTTGGATTTTGTTGCCTTGTAAGTTAATAAATATTTTGTAACTCCTATTTTCCTGCATTTTCTGGCATTGAACTGCAAACTAGTTACATTTAGGATATGTATTGAAATTATAATTTTGTGAGCAAAATATCAGAATGTGCCCCTAGTAGAGAAAATTAGATTCGTACTTGTCAAAAGAAAAAGAAGTAAAGTAGTAAAAAATGAGGGTCATTATGGATATATGTGGGTTATAGATATTATTGGAAAATAATTTAGCTTCCTTACCATCTTTCCTCTATTTGTATGTAGTATTTGGTATAGAATTTTCTTCAGTGTCTTGATTTGTTTGTATGTATCAGTCAGCTGGATATGTAATGTCGTTTGTTTTTAGGATTTTGGCAGCATTGAAAGGCATATTGCTAGGTTGATAAGACAAATAAGGGGTACTAAAGACAATGTCAGGTAAGCTGGATATGTTCATTTTTATGGTAGGTAGTCTTAGTCAAGTTTTGTTGTAATTTTCTTCCTTATGACCGATGTTCACTGCAACTATTCTTGAATTTTAGTATCCAAAGTTTCATGATGCTGTTACATTGATAAGCCTATATGTAAACCATCTTTTGCAGTACAAAAGCTAGTGCGCTTATAAAGATTTTCAACAATCCTGGTTGTCCTCAAACCATCAGCATTGCGTCTTTTGCTAAGAAGGTATTCACGATTGTTCAGCATAAATGATTTGCCTCTTTTTTTTTTTGTATTCTCATTATAGAAAGATATTTTTTTACATATTCCTTGGAAGGTAATGTTAACAAAATATGCAATAAGTCTAACCAATAGAAAGGCAAAGTTGGAAATGTGGTTCCACATCAAAAGCAACAGAACCTTTTACAATGAAGCCAAGTAATGCATACCTGGAGAAAGTCCCTATTCTGTAATAAAATGACCAAGTAATGTAGCCATGCATTGACCTAATACTATCTCAAATCTCCTTTATATGTGGTACATCTATATTTTTCTCATATATCTCAGAAATCAATAGTACTTTCTATGGATCAACAATTTTAGTTCTTTAATGTTTAACTGCAACAAACAGTTATTGTGCTTTCAGATTGTATTTTGAAAATCCTTATGGTTATGGACATGCATTTCTGTCGTTGATATGTCAGGTAGTTTCTCACTGTGAAAGCCCTGATAATGCTGCCTTTGCTTGTGGTCATGTCATTGTCCTTGTAACTTCACAGGTACATCTTTTACAGTTCTTTTTTTTGGTTTGGGATGGGTGGTGTGTAAAGGGCGCAAATGAATCATAATAACCATAAAAAATGTGTTTTTTCCCCCTTCACGGGCCAACTTAGATACTAAGACAGTTGCAGTGTTATAATTTTAAGCTTATGACTAGGCATTGGCATGCTATAATTTTACCATTTCATAGTAGAGCCACGAGGAGCAAAAATATTGCTAGTCAATTACTTTTTCAGAAGCTTGATTTCCTAGGTTGTTTGATTCATGATTGCTCTAGTGGTTGGGATGTAATGATGAACTCAAGCCAAAGCCTTAAACCTGAATATCCTACTGGTAGATGGATATGAAGGAGAAGCGACTAGAGTTTATTTGTAAAATACATAAATTGCAATAGTTATGGTACATGAAATAGTTTTTATCTCAGTTGGTTTTAGGGGGGCTTTTCCACCGATCTTAGAATCAGAAATTAGATTTTAACATAGACAAGAAATAATCATTGTTCACCAGTTCCCACAAGCGATGGATCTTCTTGTTGCTGAACTACAAAGAGCTTGCATTTACTCTGTCCCAAAGCATATATCGTACTCAAAGGTAACTCTTTTTCAACTTATTCAAGGCACTTTTTATTCTTTTGCATTCTTATGTGTCATGCACTAGTTAGCGACTTAGATTATCCAGTTGAGTTAAATTTGTATTAATAAAATACTGGCACTCAAACTCATCCTTGTTTCCCAAGTTGACTTTGGATGATAGTATATGGGGAGAGTAGTTAATCACATGAAGTTATTAACATATATTGTATGAACTTTTGTTGTTCTTTATATATAATTTTTCTGAACATCTCATAATAATTAAAGCACCTCCACAAATTTAGACAACTATGATGCACTAGCACAATCAATCTACTTAAGTTTAAAAGATCCATCAAGTGCCCCATTTCTTCTTATACAAATTAGGTCTCTCTTTTCTTTCTTATAGGTTATGTTATTAGATTATTATTGTGCATATAATGTATTTACTTTTAATTTGAAAACATTTTGAAAGTATTTTCATTTGTTAAACATAGCTACGCTATTTTGAGATGTGAAAAATCACTCAAATTGCTTGTTTTCTTTTTGGATGTGTTTGTTGCAAATTGCATAAGTTTTATAAATGCTGCATTTTTACTAATTTTAGTATATTTTATACCTACTAATACATGATTCATGTATATGGTTCAATCCAGTTAAACATTTACTCCTTTGACCTTATGATGTTTACTTTGGGTGAACTTTTGAGTTTAAGGTGTGTTTAGTGTTAAGCCTCCATTTTTTCTATTAAAAAAAAAAAAACTAGGTTCTTGTACTCTTTTCTGAAAAGTTAAAACATCGATAAATGAAAATGTGTCTGGTGTGCCTCTCCTCTGTTCTTTTTGCTGCTGCTGCTGCTGCTGTTGTATGGATTCAAAGTAGTAATTTGCTATTTCAGTCAGCATTTGAATCCAAAGAGGCTTATTGGAAGGCTATTGGATACCGGGAGGACCATGGGAAGATTGAAAGTAGCAAGGATTATTTGAAACGGTTGGAATCTTACATGAAGCTGTATGGGGCACTGGTTCAGGCATGTAATTGTTATGGATGTGGATGCTCTTCTACTCTATACTAGTAGCATCATGAGTCATCAACTAGGAACCAGCTAACCCAGAGTTTTCTTTATTAGCAGACCGAGGTTGCAGGTTGCCAAAATGTTCATGGTCTAAATGAAGGTTGGGCATGGCTTGCTAGATTCCTAAATGCACTCCCAGCCAATATTTATACTGCTGTGGCTTTGAACGCATTCCTGCAAGTAAGTAGGAATTCTCAATTTACTTTTTGCATCATACCCGCAATCACACTGAAATCGGAACATGCAGGAAAAAGGTTACTAAAATTGGAATGAACTCTTGTTTGGCCATTCAAACTAAAGAACCTAAATAGTTTCTGAAAGGGCCAAAATTTAGAATTCTAAACTAGTAAACTAATACAGACTGGCGTGCTTGGTGGACATATAAATTTCCGTCAGGTTAAAAATAGATTCTATTGTTTTACAGATGGCAGGCTTTGCTCTCTTCAGAAAATACAAATCTCAGTTCAAGAAGGTGCTGAACATTATCTCTGAGAACTTTCTAAATGCCTTGAGAGCCCAAGAAGATCCAGAGCTGAGGCCAATTACTGCAGAGATTCAGTCTTACTTAGAAGATAAGAAATTCCTTCAAGAACCAGAGGGAAGGGCTTTGCAAAGTTCTTTGTTATCAAGTGTCATGGTGCCTGACTCAGATTACCGGGACTCGTATCATCAACCAAATAGATTTTTTTACTAAATGATTGAGCTGAGAAAAATCTTTTGTTGCACGTCTTCATGAACCAAGTTCATCTCCTCATTTGCAACCCTTTCCAAATTCTTATGTCTATATTTCATGACACCAATTTTATTTATAAATCCATATAAAATAACGGTTACTAACTGAGAAAAAATGGTACTTCTTTTTTATTATTATTAAAAACTATTTATTTGTTTGTTTTGAGAATATATTCGAACTTTATTTCACTGTGAGATGTGAAAAATAAGTGTTGATACTACATATTTGGCTTTTCTTTTCTTCTCTAAAAATACTAATATAAATGTGTTTGATGCTCTCTGCCAAGCATACACTACATCTTCACCACCAAAGCCCTTCTTCATCTCATTCCAAAACCAATCAAAACCAAATACGCTAATGTTCACATCTACATCTACAATCATAACCTCATACTTTTAGATCTCATACCCTTAGATAAAAATCATTCTTCACACTCCTCTCAGAACAATTATTCTACACTCCTCCCTTATAACAACCTACCTTTAGCATTATTGAAAAATAGATAAACAGATTCAAAGAAAAACAACAAATGGAAAAGAACCCAAAAAAAGATAGCAAAACACTCACTTCCTCAACCCCAAAGCTAAAAACAATCACAACCACAGTTTAACCTCTTCAAACTTCACTCTTGAAACCACACTCAGTGATTCTTCTAAATCTTCTTCAGTTTTCGATGAAGATATTTTTCTTACCAAAGATGTACCAAACCCTTCAATGGTGGACCTGATAAAGTATTTTCAATTGCATCAATTGAGATAGATATTAAAAATATTCTCCCACGGATCCTCATAACAGAACTAACAATTAAAGTTTCATATGATAATTCAGAGGTTAACAACTTAATTCCTCAGTCATTGTTTATAATTAAGTAATATATTGATGATAGTTTAGACATAGATACAAATGACTATTTAGATGATAATCAATGTTTTGAGTATATGTCCATTCAAAAACTCTAAAAAATTCAAATTATTCAGCCTCTAAAGTGGATGTTGGTGTATCCTTACTCTATCCACTGTTTTAAAAATTTTGAAGAAATCTGAAAAGTAATAAAGTGCTCTTGAGATCCAGTTGGGAGAATGCACTAAAGCTTGAACATATTATTTTGGAGCTTAAGATTTTTGTTTGAGAAGACTTTATGGATCTTACTAAGTAGGAGATTTAGAAAAAGTATTATAGAGATTTACAAGAAGAAGTTTTGTTTCTTTAATATTTTTGTTTTTTGAGATATAATTAATTTCATATAGGAAATCTAACATAGAAAAAAAAGATTTTCTAAGTATAGGAGAAAGTAAAGAAAAGGAACATATAAAGGTTGAAGGAGATCATTAGCATTTGACATATTCATAAAAATAAGTCTTTGGCTATCCAGTTTCACTCAATCTAATAATATAGTAGTTACTTAATCTCTATGTAGAGTTGTGTTCTAATATCACTCACTAGGTAAAAGAGACATCAACCAACAACGAGGTTTTTAGGCTTTGATACCATTCACTAGGATCGATTGCTTTCCTCGAAGAGTTACCAAATATAAGCAGTCCATAATTCAAGCATAAAACCAAAGTATTTTAATCGGTGCTTAAGACTAAATGCTCTCTTAGTATGATATCGAGCTAATGGCCTAATTTTTATGAAATTATACTTTTCATTATGATAGCTTACTTCAATACTTTTTGGTACAATAACTTTTCTTTGTAAGTGGAATATGGTCTTTTTACAATTCTATAAGAATTTTGATTTAGAGTATTTACAATACTATAATAATTGTAAAGCATACTAATTTGTATTACTATAAACTATGATATAAAGGATAATAACTGTTTCTAAAACTAAGATGAGAATGGAAAAGAGTCGTCAAAGGAAGAGAAGTTTAGAAGCACATACTTAATATTTCATAGTAGAAAATTTTACAAGAAAAGTTAGAAAATTTAGAATTCTAACCTAGTTTTGGTCTAAAAATTATTCTACATCCAATGGATTAATTTGCCTTCACAAGAAAAGTGTTACAAACTTAAATAAAAAAGAGAAAAATAAACTGATAAGACATGACATAACCCAAAACTATAAAACAAATTAAAATAATAAAATAATAAAGACAATAACTTTTAAAAAAGAAAGAATATATTTTTTTATTTTTATTAAAATACTTTTTACAACTTTACTAAAGATACAAAAAGTAATTTAGACATAAAATTAATTTTTGATATTTTGATATGACGTTGATGTGACATAAAATTAATTTAAAATGATTCGAAGTGATGATGCTATTTATCTTTAAGATAATATTTTACACACATAATTATATATAACTTGAATTAATAATAAAAAAGATAATAAAAAAGATCCTTTCATTCTCCGAATTGATCATGAATTTTTCTGGACAGGTGCTAATCAACCCAGTCAAACAATTCTTCTTTAATTTCATTTGGATCTCTTTCCCGAGCTTTCAACCATTGATCATAAAGCTTTGATTCAAAATCTCCCTCTAATCCATGTGATATCATCTGAATCTTGCCAATGTAGATTCATAGGAAGTTGCTTCAATTTTACAAAATTAAAGAGATTAAAAATTCACGAGTCTTTGTGACAAATCATTCCATCGATTTATCCAAAGAGGTGTTGGGATCCACTTATCAAGATGATTATATAATTCTTGGATAGACGCAGGGGTATACCACCACCATTGTTCTTTCTTGAACGGTAGCAATTCTTCGGGAATTTGTCCAAGTAGATGGATATTGTTGCTAGTCATTCATTCTTCTTGCTCACATATCGAGTATGTCTAAACAGGGACTTTTAATAACACCTTACAGAGTTTTTATTCAGTTCACGAGCACAAAATTATCCTTTGATGTAGGAAACAATTCAACAATTACAAACAATTTTTTTTTTTTTTTTTTAAAAAAAAGAATGACAAGGACATAGTCTATTCAACTAGTGATTCGATCCAGGTTTATGTTCATCAATTGTCTTGACAGGGCAACATTCTCATCCTCATCTAAGCCCCATTCCGAAAGTATTTACTATATATATATATATTGTCCAATCGAAAGTATTTACTATTTAGAGAGCTTCACTGCAGCAAGAGTCCTACATTGGCTGTGTCCCCTTACTTTTCAGGCTTTCACCATTAAATTGCTGGTCATAACGCCAACTGTCGTAATCTCCATCAAGATAGCAGCACAGAGGTTAGCTGGTGGTTGCAAGTTGCAAAAGGAGGCATCAGGTGAGATATAGGCCTCCCCTGTCTGTATTAAAATTGCTCAGAATGTGGTAAAACTCATAAATGGAAGCCTTTTTCTATCTTTCAGGTTATAATCAACGGCTAAACTTTCCTTGCTTTTGTAAGATGAATAACTCAATTCAGCTGTTACCAAACCAAAAATGTGATTAGAGAGGCTGATTAATAAAGCCTGATTCGAATTTGGATAGTGCTCCGACATATGGGGCAGAGTTGGAGGCCTTCTCCACAGTCACAGCAAGTCTGTCAAATTGAAGGATATTATGCAAATATATGATGTCAATACTCTGATACAAATAGATTCAGACCTCACAAGAGCAACGGGAAATAGAGAGTAATTAACCTGATGTCCACAACCAAAGGCCATGTCCTTGGGATTACCAAGGCAAATGGGGCAAACCTGTCAAGTTTGCAAGAGTGAGGGGGAAAAAGGATTAGTATGACAATGGCAGGGTAGCAGTGGAATGATAATGCTGATAACAATTCTGTGATTCCAATGGAATAGTTTGCATACCTGATGATCATAACGGGAGGTTGAAGATGGACCTGCGGTTGTGCTAGCTGCATCATCGTATCCAGAATAAGGAGGTTCATTTTGCTCAAAACTGTTTGAGCGAGAATTGGGAGATGCATTCTGCTGAAAACTGCTTGAGCGAGAATAAGGCTTTGAGGTGTTGAAAGAAGAGGTACCATAAAGGGGAGGAGGGAGAGGAAATCTCTCTGAAGCATTTCCCTTCCTTCTTCTGATTATTAATAAAAAGAAAAGAAGTAGAAATTAGTTATACATAAATAACAGTTAAAGAAATGAACATGCAATAAAAGTCAATAACAAATTCAATAACTACCCCAATAAGCCAAGCTCAATAGTTGCTTTGTATTGAGAAGGTATTTCCATCAAGGCTGAAAGAGCAAATTCTGCCTGCTTTCTGGATGGATCCATGTTCTTTGACATAATCTCTGTGAAGTTCACAAACTAGCAAGACAAAACAGAGTGCCTTTTAACTACTAAGAGCATTCAAAGACGGTAGCAAATTACAGATTCCAACACGACAGACAGAGAAAACGCTCACCTGAAAATTGTCAAAAGCACGAGCAGGGATGTTATCGTCAAACTCCTTCATCATGTCCCAAGGCCCATCACCAACCCCAACAAGGACAATCGACAAGGGGAATTCACTGCAGCCAAATGGCCATGTGAGGATATATGGTGTAGGCAATCTAAAGCAAGTAGTAAGTTAATGATAATTACCTTGCTTTGACAATTGCATCAATTGTCTTTTGCTCTTGGGGGCTAAGCTGACTATGCTGTGTATCAACACTTCTTGTCACCTGCAAGATATATGAGACAGAAGTGTTGGAAAAGTGACATCTACATTTCACTCAGACGTACGGGATCAGCAGTATTATAGAAGTTCAGCGAATGCTATTAATTACCTGTCCATCAGCAATTATCAGCAAAACATGGTATTGACCACCACTTTGCTCAACTATAGTGATGGCCATTTCAATGATGGGTGCAAAAGATGTTGGCCCTACCATAAACAAACATAAAGCAGTTGCTGTAAGAACCAACTGGTTCAACTTTAAGATGTCTATAACAAGAATAAACCAATGGATGAAGTAAAATCAGGTACCTGCAAGTCGAAGTTGGGGAACAATTTCTCTGTATCTTGCTAGCACCTCCTCAAATCCATTGCAAATTCTCTCTTCTGGATAGAAACTGAAGACGTCTTGATCATGTGTTGATGCTGAAAATATATGAAGTCAACCTCATCTTATAATCCAGATAATGAAATCAAGCTAATGAACCTAGAGCTTAACTCAATTAGTTCATACAACCACCCTTAAAAGGTAACATCTAGCAGGTCTGAAGTTCAAATCTCTGTATTTGCAACCATTTCCCTTATTCTCAGGCTACGACCTCCTTTATATATATATATCAAAGTAGAATAGTAAGAAAATAATTTCAATGAACTTTACCGTCTCCAAATCCATAACAGGGAATCAAGTTATCCTCATCAAAAGCAGATAAGCTCTGTCCAATAATTGATATAGCTTGTTCGTAGGGATTTTGACCATTTCCAATGTGATGCAAGCTTCGGCGGTTGAATGACCTGGCACCTGGTTTCCTTGGAAGTTAAGCATGGTTCATTGAAGGTCAATTAAAAAAGTTAAAGGCAACAGAGGGAGTTAATATGTAATACCTGTCCACTCGTTGCTCTTTGTGAAATCAATACCAACAATAAGGTTAGAGGACTCAAGGCCAGCTTGTGCAAGGGCAGCAGTAACCTGTGATCGGCAATTTGGTTGTCTGAACATGTCATTTCTTTATAATTTTGTGATGCACAAAACTGTTCTTCATAGATAAATAAATTTGCCACGGACGAATTTGAAGTATGCAACAACAACAGAACTGATACAAACTCAAAAGAATTGCGGCAACAAGCTAACCTGGTCCAAAGTTTGGTAGTTATCAGCTATCCTTGAGTATTTCCTGCCCATAATCTTATGCGAGCGCTGGGGCGTTTGTGATCCATAATTATAGGAGGGAGGTGGAGTATAATGATGCTGTGGCGTATAGTATGAATTCTCTTGAGGATGTGCAGAATGTGGTGGTGGATATCCGTAATGGATCCATGCATCTGAACCAGCTGACATGCTTTCACTTGAATCCTTTGAGCTTTGGGCTCCCATAATCAATATCTAATCAAAAAGCTACTCCAAGAGTTCAATGACAGAAAAAAGAGATATCGCCTCCTGCAAACCAAATAAAGTCTATCATGAAAATCACTGCCAGCTATAGGAAAAGAATCTGCTATAATTGAATATGCTCAAAATCTTGCTCCCTAAAATACCTGAAACCTGCTAAAATATCCTTGATTCTTAAATCAACAGATGGCAGGTGAAAAGGGTGAAGTGCATAAAGGTTGTACGGTTAATAAAATCTAATTCTATAAAAGTATTTAAATGCTCTGGATAAACGAAATTTTCATGGAAACTTACTGATATATGAACTAAAGACTTTAACAAGACGCAGAAAGGATGCTGGTAATGACCTGTTCAAACGTTGCCGTCCCTGGGAAAGTTCTTGCAATGGATTTAAAAAAAAAAATTCCTGTACAAGTACATTTGATAATTAAATGCTCCAAGAAAAGACAATAAGAGAAGAACTTCTAGATTGGCTTTCAGAGATAACACGCAAGAGTTGACTACAGATAAGTATCCTGTATATTCATAAAATGAAATAAAATTTTAACACAAGTTTCATAAAAAACAAAGAAAGTGATATATATATATATATGTCATAAATTCGTAAATTCATTGTTAGATATAATTTTAAAAATTATCATCTAATTTTTTTATTTAGATACGATTAATTATATCATTAAATTTATTTTATTTAAAAAAAATTTTAATATAGACTTAAATATCTTTAAATAGTATATTTTAAAATTCACAAAATCAAAATTTAAGTTTAAGAATATAATTATGCGTAATAAGAGTTATAATACTCTTAGAGTGTCCATCCAAATAATGATATCAGTTTAATTTCAAATTATTCAAATTTAAAAATATTCTTATAATTTTATCAAGTAATTTAGTTATTAAAAATTAATCTTAAAATTACTTCGATAGTTTGATAGCAATTTATAATAATTTTTTACCTCAAAAATATTCATAGAGACTAATGTCTCACTTTAAAAAAGCCCTATCATCTAGTTCATTAATATTTTATTTTAAAAATAATCAATAAAATATTTTAATATTTTAAAAAGATTTATTTTGATACAAATCTCTTAACAATTTGATGAAATTTTATTATAAAATTATTTTTAAAAAATATATTAAATCTTCAAATAGTTTGATAAGATTTAATTTCATATGCAAATATTTTAATAATTTGATAGGATCAAAACAAAATATTTTATAAATTTCTTTTGTAAAAAGAATTTAATTTATAAACTTCTTCAATAGTTTGATAGAATTTATAAAATTTAAATTAATAAAAAATCATTTAATAGTTTGATCGGATTCATAGATTAATTTAAAGCTTTCGATCTTTTTTTTAATAAATAAATGAATAAAGTAAAAGCATTTTTTAAATAATAATAATAATAATAATAAAAATTATTTAATTTAAGATACTGAGTCAAATAATAATAATAATAATAATATGATATAAAAAAAAATTAAAAAATAAATAAATAATAAAAATAAAAACATAAAATAAAATAAAATAAAAACCTACGAAACAGATCGAATCTTCACATAAGTGACATGTAGGTCAATTTTGTTCATGCAAATCCTAGCTTACTCCTAAAACAATGTCGAATTAATCTTCTATAAAAGCAAAAAAAAAAAAAATTTCCTCAAAATATCCTGCTCCATTTTCTCTTGAGAGTCACTTTTTTTTGCTTTCTTTCTAAGGATTTTATCAAAAACTTTAAGAGATTCCAAAAACTGATTAACTTTTTTAAATTTTGACACCGTGAAATTCAAAAGGGCATTAGAATTTTCAAATGAAATCAAGAAATCTTGCAAACATAAAAAATGTCAGCCTCGTTCTCTTACGACCATCGTGAACTTTATCAAAAAATTAAAAATATTCAAATGAAAATTCCAAAAAATACTTAGATTTCAACAAAGATTAAAACAAATTTCAGAATAATCCTAAACCCTAGGCCAGAAATCAAATTCCAAAACCTAGAAATTTAAAAAAAAAATCCTCTTGAACACAAATAATCCCCTAACTTATAAGAATCACTCAAAATCCAAACAAAACCTTAGAATAAAAAATAAACAAAAATTGAAAACTCGTATAAACCCAAAATTTGTTTTCTTTAAATTGATTGCTTCCCAAGATTTAAAAAAACAAGAAAACTCTTCTTCTCTCTATCTTTTTTTCTCCCTTATTTTTCAATATGTGAACTTGAGTTTCATTAATAGGGTTCTTTTAACAAAATTTTAGAGATTTATCATGCTTGAATCTTGAGATTTTATTATAGTTTGATTGTGGTCAACTATTGTGTGATTGATTTTGTTTCTGATTTTATGCAGATTAAATCTCAAAGATCCTTCCTTATCCAATTCCAAGAAAACTTTACTTTGATTTGATTTCCTTTCTTTTTTTTTTTCTTAACCCTAACTTTTTCTTTCTAAAATAATAATAATAATAAAAATAATAATCAAAATTAAAATTAATAATTTCTATTGGGCTTAAAATTTTACAATCAAGTCTAATTTATGGTTAAAAACCGTTTTAATTTTAAAAAAATTATCAAATAAAATAAGATATCTACAAAATATATATATTCGCAAGGTTAAATTATGCTATTTGTTTTATGAAAATATATATATATATATATAATTGATCATCCATAAGATCAAATTATGTTATCAATTCATGTAATTATTTCAAAATATGAATTTAATTTTTTAAATAATTTTAAAAATTCAACCATTGTACTATTTAAAATTTAAATTTTTGATCTATTCATGTTCACATCTATTCATGTTCATCGTGTGGACATAAATATTAATTTATTGATGTGATATTGACTATAAAGATATTTTAATAAAATTTTAATGAAAGTGAAGATGACATTTTTGTCACCTCACGGGCAAGAAGACTTACAATAACAATTTAACAAAGGAGTCAACTGCCATTCCTTGGGTCACTTTTTTCATATCAACTCATGAGTTATTATATCAAATTAATTAGTTTAGTCTATAAAATCATCTATTGATCTACAAATCAACCATATTCTATAAGAATGGCTACAATCCAGAGGCATCAAACCAATTTAATATTGCACAACGACCCTTCGATTCTGGGTCCTCGCTTTCGTTGAGGAGTAAAATATTCCAAATAAAAATATTGAATCAGCAATGATCAAATCTTCTACCTGTAATTCTAATACTGATGAACCAAAAGATGTAAAATCATCGTTCTCTTTCATTTGTCAATGGAATTGTTGGGATGGAATGAATTAAATTTAGGTCAGCAAGTTTGGTGGCGGAGTGTGCGGGCGGCACATGGAACTTCAAGTGTGAACGTCGCTTTTCCAAGTGCATTTGCAACGAAAGTTCCATGCTGTTGATGCCTTTGAGTTGGGAGTCAATGGCTTTTCTGGAAACCTGTCGGGCCATCGTTTATCTCAAAGATACTGGTCAGGATTTCAGTTGCGATGAGATGAAAAGGTTTGTCGGCCCTACGTTGTTGGAAAACGCCATGTTTTCACTGGTGAAAAATGGAGATCAGCTTCACACACAAAACTGATTAAATTGGAAAGAAAAGTAACACCCACTCTGTCATGACTTATCATATTTTTGTCACATCAATCAACATTATTTGTATTTAACGTCAATAAAAAATTTCTCAATCAAACAAGTTTTTTTTCTAATTAAAAGGGTATTAATTGAAGCCTTTTTGACATATTAATTTAACCATTGTGAAAAACTCCATACTCCATACTAATTTTCTAATGTGATCATTTATTGAAAAGGAGAAAATTATTCAAGTGAAGTTTGATTTATTTTTTTTATAAATGTTTGTTATTCAATTCCAAACTTTCTTAGAAAATTTCAGATATTTAATTATTTATAGTCTATAATTTGTTAATCTTGACATGCTCATTGTCAATGCTATACTACAATCAGGGGCCGGGCTGATGTTGATCAGTTTCACTTGTCATAGCAATGATTTCATTTGCTATTTTTGCTTATAGCAGTTTTATTCAAATTCAAGTATATCATAAGACTTTGAAGCAAATGAAGAAAGAATATGTTCTTTTACCATAATACCTTTATATATAATTGTTATAATTAATTTTTTATCACAATAGACATTTGGTTTTTGATGACACTCACGTTTTGAAGCAATTTAAAAACTGAATCAATAGGTACCTTTGTGAAAATGGATAAGACGATTTTGGGGTGAGCAAGATAATGCGAGAGAATGAAGCACCTGACTACTGGGATATCGGAAAGATTGGATTCGAATAGTTACGATTCCAGGTCTATCTTTGCAGCAGATACCTGGAGCTTGGGTGTGACTTTATTGGAGCTTTATGTGGGTCATTTTCCATTTCTCCCAATAAGATGCAGCTAGCGCCAAACGAGGCGTCAGAGGATTTCAAGAGCTTTATCAGTTGTTGCTTGCAAAAGGAACCCGGCAAGAGATGTACAGCTTTGCAACTACTGTCACACCCTTTACATTTGCATGAATGGGAGACCCCAGGATGACTAACAAACATTTATATATTACGGATGTTCATTTTTTCACTTCCATCCTTAGGTTGATTAACGTCGATCCTCTAAATCACTAAAAAATAATAAAATTAAATCATTCTAAGTATACAAGATTATGATATGATATGATAATAAAATATTATAAATATGATTAGATTAAATAATCTAATCGTGTCTTACATTTGATATGTGTTAAAAATTAAGATAGAATAATATATTTATTGATTAAAATTATTTTTTTTCAAAATTTATTCAATTTAAATTATTAATGTAATTTTTAAAAATACAATAAGATATATAAGTTTAATTTCATAAATTAAAAATAATATTGTTCATTTTGTGAATATTAAATCATCTTATATCAAAAGGGTGATAATTTTTTTTATAATTTTATCCGTTTCAATTAGATATAAAACAAACATAATATAAAATAATTATCATACTATTCTATATATCATCCGTACCAAATATAGTCTTAATGCCATTAGTATGATAGTGATAGTCTTAAAATTCTTTGTGATAGATTGTAATTCAAACTCTAAATCTATTAATATATTACTAATTTACTAGTAAGAATTAAGAATTTTAAGAAAAAGAAATAAAATTCTATAATCTTCCATTGGGCCAAGAAAAAACTTATATGGCAGCTGACTATTGACATTTAGTCTTATTTGTTTTGGGCTTAGATAAAAGGCTTGGGATGAACTTTAAAAAACTTCTCGATAAAAAATTAGCAAAATATTGTTTTCCAATAGGACCGATCTATCATCTATGCAAATGCAATTCTACTACATTTTTTCCTTTTTTCCACTTCCTGACAAAAACAAAGAACAGAAAAAGCGGCACGCGAGGAAAGCAGGGATCATTCCAAAACCTAAGATATACTAATAAGTTGTCATGAAACTAACTATGAAAAGGAGATTTGGCTAAAGAGACATGCTTATGCAAATGGGAAAATTAGTTATGCAATAATTTGCCTCTTTAATGGAAAATTTG